CTTTCTCTTTCCAACTTATTTACTCATTCATTTACTAATTAATTAATTAACTCACTTCTTCCTATTATCAGTCATTTATTTATTTATAATTCTTGTAAATATACACACAGCATAAAAATTGTATGTCCAGACCAATATTTCCACTACTGGAGCTTCAACTGTTGCTTCTGCTATGGCAAGATCTATCATTCCTCTGGCATCTACTACAAGATCTGCTGTTCCTCCGGCATCTACTGTGACAACTAGCTCTTTCGTTCCTTCGGCATCTACTGTGACAAGAACAAGATCTGTCGTTCCTCCGGATGCATGTTCTGCTGCACTTTCTGTAAGTTGCACATTTATATTATAAACTTTTATCGCTGTATCTCTCTCTCTCTCTCACATACACACATACACTCACTCTTTCACGCAATCATGCTTGTTAAACTTCCTTTTTAAACTCTAATATCAAATTTATTTATTATAATTATTGTCATGTACTTGTGCAATTTTAAAATGTAATCAAAGTCATAAAATATTATAATTATATAATATTTGTGAGAGAATAATTAATTTCACTAATTAATTAATCAAACTTATTTATTGTAACTTGTATTTTATTAAATTTTGTTTTATTTTGATTCTTGTACATTTATATTTGTCCAAACAGACACGTGTTTCTACCACCGCTTTTCTAACGGAACCATCCTTTTTAACCACTAACCAAGCCACCGCGTCTCCTGAGGTTGCACGTGCTAATACCCACACGAATATTCAACGTAATAGTTATTATTAATTACAACCAAATGATTAAGAAAATTCTTAACAGAATAATTAATGAGAACGTTTAATTTATTTTATCATATTTACAGAGAGGCGACCAAGAGGTACGCGGGCAGGAGCGTATCGGCAACAAGAGCGCTTCATGCGCTTTTTGTACCAGCTTTCTTCGGCGCATAATAATTGGGGACGTAGGAGACAACATCCCAATGCAAAAGAGGTATTAATTTTTTTTCACGTCCGTCTAAAATATCGTGTCTTGTTATAATTTAAAATAAATACTAAAAGAAATATTATTCTTTTTAGCGACGTCCGCCATCCAGGCAAGAATAAGAAGATGGTTTTATCAGTTTTATGTGTTTTCTAAAATAAGATTTTTTTTTTAAGAGTGATCTCAAAGGGAGGATTACCATTGACAGAGCCGAAGCCAATCAGAATTCGCGCTGGTAGTAAGAAAAGCAGAAACTGTCGACTACCAGCGCGAGTTCTGATTGATTTCTGCTTTTCTGTTTTTTGTTTTCAAGGTTAATTCTCCTTAAGAATAGATTAAGTTTTTGATATCGCATAAGAGATCTTTTTTTTGTTTACGTAAAAGTATATGTAAAAGTTTTATTTTGTTGTGCGTACACAATGTGAGATTTTATTTTTTTTTTTGTTCTACTTTGTAAAACTTTTTACATAATAATAAATATGTATTCGATTCGTGTTCTAAAAATTATAATTTTGATATATTTTCTTTACTTTCCATTTCACTTTGTCCTCCTTTCAAACAGTTGCCTTTTAAAAACATTTACTATATAAAGCAATAATATTATAATAAAATTGTTTAATTTATTTCCTTTTTCTTGTAAAGCTCTTTATAATTAAATTTAATTTATTTTGTCTTTCTGTTCTTGAGAGAATGTGTGGA